ACCTTACACTCCTGATTCTTTTGTCTTTATGTCTCTATCTCCCCCCCCCCCCCCCCCCCCCCCGCACTTTTTTTGATACAGGGTTTCTCTGTAGCTCTGGAGCCTGTCCTGGAACTAGCTCCTGTAGACCAGGCTGACCTTGAACTCACATTGATCTGCCTGCCTCTGCCTCTGTCTCCCAAGGGCTGAAAGGAGTGTGCCATCACTGCCCGACTTTTTCTTCTTTTTAAAAACATTTGTAGTGCTTAAGCGTCGTGTGGTCTCACTTCACCCGGACCCCGATTCTCTCTGTGGCAGTCTCTACTGCAGAAAAATCGATCTCTAGCCCGAGCCTGTGAGCAGCCGTTCAAGGTCATCCTCAGCTACACGGTGTGAGGTTAGTCTAGGCTACAGCAGACTCAGTCTCCCCGCCCTGAGAAAAAACACCCTGTTTTAATCCTCAGCTTTGAATTTTAACCTTTCCAGTCCTCAGTTCATACTTTCTCCTAAACCCTAACTGTCGTAATTTAGAAAAAGCAGCACGCAAGAGAAAGGCGCCTTGTGACAGAGCTCAGGTCGAGGGTTTTTTTTTATTGGGGGGTCGTGAATGGGAAAAGGGGGGAGGGAGACCGGCTTCTGGAGACAGGAGTGGCAAGAGAGAAGAGAGAGATTGAGAGTCAGACAGAGACAGAGAGAGAAAGAGGGAGAGATGGAAGGTGGGCAGGGCCCTTTCAAAGGGGAACACAGTAAATGCACACAGGAGGACTCTTAGTGGCTGCAGCTGAGGACGTATACCGCAAGGGCAGGCCGGTGCAGGTGCCTGAACGCTAATAGCCTCCCTTTTTAGTTATTATAAAAAGGTGAGGAGTTGGCCGGGTGGTGATGGCGCACACCTTTAATCCCAGCACTCGGGAGGCAGAGGCAGATGGATCTTTTTGAGTTTGAGTCCATCCTGGTCTACAGAGTGAGTGCCAGGACAGGCTCCAAAGCTACAGAGAAACCCTGTCTGGAAGAAACAAAAACAAACAAACAAACAAACAAAGGTGAGGAGTTAAAAATGGGTAGCAAGGGAGGCGGGGATGAGGACACCATGTTCTCAAGACAACCTCCGTCCTGCTGACCTGGAGGCATTGTTCATCTTTGGGGGGGACCTGGGAAGCTGGGGTGCTGGCCATGTCCTGGAGTATCTGGCTGTTTCACTTCACCGTTCAGTCTCTGTGGAACTGTCACACGTCACTTGGATCTGACAAGATGCTGTTCGAGGTGGATCCAGGTCGACTCCCTAGGGCTTAAAGCGCCCGATCCTTTCCCATCACCACAGCCTCACCTGGACGTGTCTGATGGTCTTGTGCCTCCAGCTCTATGACTAACAGTTGGTAGTCTTGCAGCATAGCTGATCAGGAATGGTCAGTGGGTCCCCAAAATGCATCCCGATGGGAGTGAGGAGGTATAAACTATGACACAGTTCCCACGGGAGAGGCAGGGAAGACCCAAGGGTCAGCAATTCCTGGTGGGCCACGAATTCAGAGAGGGTCACAGGCACAGGCTGTCCAGTGGGTGGTCATGCAAAAGGCCCGGAAGAACCATGGTTGTCTGATATCACGGCTTAATGAGGTCAAAAAGTGAAAAAGCACACTTGAGAGCTGAGTCCTTGCTCAGGAAATAGCCAGAGGTGGGGAAAAGGGAGGGGCTCACCGATTGTGTGGTTCTGGATGGAGGGACCAGCAATCCAGAGAAGCGAGGCCGTCCTATGTAAACTGGATTCCAGGATCCTGGCATACCTCAGACTGCCTGTGGGCAGGAGGAAATGCCAGAAGAACCTTTTCTGGTTAGGGAACCAATATTGTAATTTAGAAAAAGTGGCATACAAGATCAAAAACACTGATAACAACTTATGCTGGAGAGGTTGTGGGGAACACTCCTGCATTGCCGGTGAGAGTGCAAGCTGGTACAATCCCTTTGGATGTCAGTATGGCAATTTCTCAGAAAATTGGGAAACAACCTTCCTCAAGGCCTAGCAATACCACTTTTGGGTATATACCCAAAGGATGCTCAATTGTATCACAAGGACATGTATTCAACTATGTACACAGCAGCATTGTTTGCCATAGCCAGAACCTGGAAACAATCTAAATGCCTCTTGACTGAAGAATGGATAAGGAAAATGTGGTACATTTACACAATGGAGAACTACACAGCAGAAAAAAATAATGACATCATGAAAATTGCAGGCGAATGGATAGAGCTAGAAAACATCATATTGAGTGAGGCAACACAGACTCAGAAAGGCAATTATCATATGTACTCACTCATAGGTGGTTTTTAAACATAAGGCAAAGAAAACCAGCTTACAAATCACAATCCTAGAGAATCTAGACAACAATGAGGACACTAAGAGAGACTTACATAGATCTAATCTACATGGGAAATATAAAAAGACAAGATCTTCTGAGTAAATTGGGACCATGGGGACCATGGGAGAGGGTTGAAGGGGATGGAAGAGGAAGGGAGGGGAACAGAGAAAAATGTAGAGCTCAATAAAATCAATATAAAAATATTGAGTGATAGATGCTAGGTAACAAATAAAACTGAATTTGTCAAGTAAAAAAAAAAAGTTATTTTCAAACAATACATACTGACCATGTTCCCCTTTTCTCATTCCTCCTGATTTCTCCATGCTTCTCATTTAATACAGATCCACACCCTTTCTGTCTTTCCATAGAACACAGACACCTAATAATAATCAAATAAAATTATAGTCAAATAAAAAAATAAAAAGTGGCACCCAAGAGAAAGACACCTTGTGATGGAGGGATCTTTTTTACTGAGGAAAAGTGGAAAAGTGGGGGAGGGGAGACTGGCCTCTGGAGACAGGAATGGCAGAAGACAGAAAAGAGAGAGAGAGACAAAGACAGAGAGAAGGAGGGAGAGACGGGAGGTGGGCAGGGCCCTTTTAAAGGGGAACACAGCGAATGTGCGCAGGAGACGCTCTTGGTGGCTGCAGCTGAGATGTGTACCCCAAGGTCAGGCCCGTGCAGACGCCCGAACACCAGCACTAACATCTGGGATTGTCCCTGACTCCCCTCCCCATTTCTATCGAGTATTATGGGTTGCCGTTTAATTAGCAACTTACCAGGAAACAGAGCGCTCTGTATGTATCACGCCGTCTGCTTGCTACTCACAAGCAGTCACATCCATGTTCCCGTGGTACAGTCAAGGAGACTGAGCTGTACTGAATGTGTCCAAGGTCCGTGGCAAGGGAAGTCAAAACCTGAGGCAGCTGTTTGTTTTTAGACAGGGTCTTGTTATGTATCCTCCTGCCTCAGCCTCCCAAGTGCTAGCATTAGAGGAATGTACCACCACGGCTAGCTTTGAGCCTGTTTAGTTTTAAAAGTTTTTAGGTAATGATGCTTTTGGCTCTAAGAGAGAGAAAGTGGGATATTAACAATGGAATAAAAAGGCCGGTCAGGTCAGCTGCTCCATGTTTACTGCTGGGACTTGGCCTTTCTGCTCCATTCCCAGAAGCATTGAGGCTTTGCCCCCAGTAAGCTTTCTCAAGGATTCAAGATGCCTGCCGAAATGTTCAGCATCACACCAAAGATGGCCTAGAAGCAGGAAACCGCCTCATTTCCTCTCATGGGTCTCCTTCTGAGGAGCCGAGACTTCCCCCAGGACCCTTCCCGGCGGCAGCAGATCCTCTCCATCTTGTCCAAAGGGCCAGAAGCTCAGCTTTAGAGTCTAGACCATCTTTCAAGAGCAAAGTTGACTTGCCTGTTGGTCTTATATGAGTCTCCTTCCCTGAACCCCTTGAGTAGGAACACCTCTCCATCACATCTGCTGGGTCGCCACTCACTGACCTTCTTTGTTGAAAGCTGAGGTGTCATGAGGCGATGCCCCCCTGCCCTCCTGCCCCCTCTCCCTCTCTCCCCCCCCCCCCCCCCTTTTTTTTTTTTTTTTTTTTTTTAAACAGTCCTGGCTGTCCTGGAACTCACTTTGCAGACCAGGATGGCTTTGAACTTACAGAAATCCACCTGCCTCTGCCCTTGAATGCTGCTGCCACTGAAAAGTCAGTCTTGGTAGCTGCGTCCTTCACTCTCTTCACTGAGATCACTGCCCTAGAGCCTCAGTAAGCTCAGGTATTTTAACCTTCACACTGGGATCTGAAGAAGTTGGGATCAAAGGAAGTTAAGGTCCCTGCTCCATGAGGCTGGGGCCTTCAGGATAGAAGTCGAAGCCCGCCTGGCCTCATGCCCCAGGTCTTGCCCTTACTCCACAATTCTGGCTTCATACTTTCTTGAATTAAAAGATAGCTGTGTCCTGAGACACACACGAGCAGAAGAGGATTTGCGTAGCATGCGCACGGCCTGGGATTTCCAGTCTTGCGCTGGAAAAACAAACACCTGTATATCAAATACCTGTTGATTTGGGTTTCAGAGTGGACAGAGTAAACAGTGCCATTTGCAGCTGTGAGAGGGGACAGTGACTCAGTCTCACCCAGAGGCCTGCGGAATTCCATTCCCGCATTCCGCCATCACAGGGTGCTGAGCCGAGCACGGAGGAATGGAAGATTCATGTTATAGCTGCTTCCAGCTAATCCTTTGTTGACGCAAATCATTTCAGTGGTCCTGCCTAGGAGCTTAGGACCCCACTGTCCTCCCACCCCCAGGCTTCCCCTTTGAACGACTCGACTCACGTTCTCCTTGAAGCCTCTCTACACAAACCCCAGCTCTTCCCACAAGCCTCATGGGGGCACCACAGCCACCTCTCTTCAGCCAGGAAGGGCCTTAAGCAGGAAGTCTTCCGACACAGAGCCGAATGACCCTATAGGTCTCTCTCATCCCCTCACCCCCCACCTAGCAGCTTTCTTGGGATGGAGTGAAGCAGGTGTACCCCTCTGTCTCTGCCTTGCCCCATGTGACAGGATGGCATTAGTCCCAGGGCAGACCAAGAAGTCTGCTCCTCTCAGGCTCTGCTGGCTTTGCCTAGGCAATCTCCTCACCAGTACCTCCCTTCTCCACCTTCAGCCCCACCCCTTCCTCTAGCTCCATAGCCCTGGACACAGTACACACGGCCCAGAGTCCCTCCTGGAAGGGAAATAAAAGGAACTGTTTCGGTTCCCATGGCTGTGGTCAACATCGACATTCCAGGACTCAGCCCTCGGAATCCTCATTATATTCCAGGGTAAGCCTTCTTCCCGCAGCGCTCTTCTGCCTGCTTTGGGAAACAGGGGTTTGGGGATAGGAGTTGGTTCACCTAGACCCTGGGTTTGAGAATGGGGGTACCTGTGGTGTTGTATGGAAAGGGGAAATGGGACGTGGAATAGCTGGGTCTAACAAAGGCTTGCGTTGTCTTCTCCATGGAAATAGGGTAAAAGCAGGGCGGGAGGATTGCAAACCAAGCAGAGGGCCTAGAAACACTTGCTCAGGGGCTGGGCAAGGAGCAGCTTTAGTGGTTTAATGCTTACCCAGCATGCACAAGGCTCTAGGTTCAGTCTCCACTAGGGAAAACAAAGAAACGAACAAAAATGACCTATTGACTAAAGCTGGGGATGAGGGGTTGTTGGTACCTGCCTGATTCCAGCAGGGGGTGGGGCGCAGAAGGAACAAAAGGAGTTTGGTCAGCCTGGGCTACAGAGACCCTGTCTATAAAGAAACAGAGAGGGAAACAAACACTTGCTCTAAGTACATAACAAGAGCAGGGTTTTGTGCCTGTGTCAGGATAATGGTGACAGTGGCGATCAGTCATGGAGCTAAGGGGTCGGTCCTGTGCTTCAGGTACACTGGACACTGCCCACTACTTCGGTACAGCATGGGCCAGACCTACGGGCAGGTGACCGGTCAGCTACTTCGAGGCCCTCCTGGCCTAGCCTGGCCTCCTGCTCACCGCAAGCTTCTGCCTCCCATTGAGTCTCCAAGATCTCCTGGGATTTCCAGTGGGAGGCTACCTCCCAGGCATGGGCATGAAAGGCTCAGCTCCAGCATAGTCCCTGGGTATACAGGTCTGTATGGCGGCCTGAACGGGTGTCCCCTCCCCACAGGATGTGTCCTGAACACACACACATCGTTCTCTCTGCTAGGTTTTATACCACAGGCACAGTTCATGTTTGCCAAGAATTGCAACCAGGTTTGGGCTGAAGCTATGAACAACTTTACTCAAAGGCATGGGCAGGAGGAGAGTCATGAGCTGTCAAAGGAGGCCAAGGGAGGAAAAGAGGCCGAGAAAGACCAAGGGCCTGAGGCAGAGGAGCCGGAGCTGAAGCAGGAGGTGGCCCAAGTGAGCTGGGGAAGGCTAGTGATGGGGGAGGGACACGGGGATTGGCTGCCAGCTCTGTCTCCTGGGAGCTTGAACTTACAATCCTAGTTTTCTTTCATTAACATCTCTCGTTAGACATCCCCCTACTCCATGGATGACACAGATCCCCAGAAATTCTTCATGTCAGGTAAGAGGACGTGGGTAATGACCAAAGGCATGGGGAGATCCCCAGGATGTCTTGACTTAGCATCTCCCCCTACCCCCAGGCTTCACTGGCTATGTGCCCCGTGCCCGCTTCCTCTTTGGCGCTAGCTTTCCCGTGCTCACCAACCAGGCACTGCAGGAATTTGGGCAGAAGTGCTCAAAGGGCAGAGTGCAGAAGGATCCCAAACCTCTTTCTCCACTCCCCAGGCCCAACTTCCAAAACCTGGGTCTCCTTCCTCACTATGGTGGTTACGTGCCAGGTGAGAGGCTTTGGGAACTGGGATGTGTGTGTGTGGTGGGCGTGGGGGTGGTTTGGGGAACTGGAATAAGGAGATAAGGAGGATGTCAGGTTCTGTGATTTAGCTTTAGAGGAAACCAAGGCACTCTGGTTTCAGAGCAGATTTCCGAGGGCGGTTTGGAGAGTCTATGCAGCTGGGAATTAAATGGATTGTTCATGCCTCTGGCTACACATGACAGGCTCTCTTGACCACACAGGGTATAAGTTCCAGTTTGGTGGTACATTTGGACACCTCACCCATGATGCTCTGGGCCTTGGCACCACTCAGAAACAGCTCCTGGCTTAAGTACCAGGATTTCAAGGTCTCTCTTTTTGTCCTATCCTATCTTTTTGGAAAGAAGAGAGGCAGGTAGGGGGAGGGGCACAAAGAAAATGGTTTAGAGGCTGAGCACCTTTTTATTAATAGGCATAATAAATAAATAAATAAATAAATACATAAACAGAAGCCTGGGCTCCTCCTCCTATTCTGACGACCAGGCACTGGTCACTGTCTATTTACAGCATGGGGGGGCTCAGGGCTCTGGCCCCAATACTGTTGATCCATCCTCATTGTCACTCGGCCTAGTAAACCCACAAATGGCCTCTGGGCCACCTCCCTCTGGAGACTTGTCTACACCCATAAAGTGTTGGCCCAGATGGGCCAGGAAAGATCTTGGCAGCCCAGTGCTGCGTCCTCCCCTCCTCTCCTGGGTGGAGGTCTGGACAAAGTCGCTGGGACGGTTGAGGAGGAGTAATTAATACTGAGCACAGGGAGCAGGTGCCAGCACAGGGATACGTGGCCCCCGGCTCTCAGTCTACTTTTTGCAGCCAAGCCTAAGGGCTTGGGAAGAACTCTCAGACTCTGAGTCTTGGGGGGATATCAGGGTCCCTGAGGCCACCAGCATGCATAAGGCCTCAGTTCTGGCTGCTTCCAGGTGGTGAACTTGGAGTTGGAGTCAATGTCACATAGGCCAGAGGTACCAAGCCCGTGTCAGGGCCCCGGCTGCAATGCAGCCAGTCTCCTCCAGCTGGTCCCAGCACCCGCAGGACATCGCCTTTGTGGAAGCTCAGTTGTCCAGGGCCTGTGGCCAGATGGTGGCACAGCGCCTGCACCTCACTGGAGAAACAACGAACGGAGGTCAGAGAAGGCCTCTGAGAAGCCGGTCAAGCTCCCCAATACTTCATTCCCCTGGGCGTACCACGGAGGTTTGGAGGGCAGGGCTGGAGGGTGTGACTCTTGCAGGTTCTCCCTGGGCTCTGGCTCCCGACGGGACCCCATTGTCTGCGCTACCAGCTGGAACACAGACCTGTCCAGGCTCAGCCAGTCTGAAGGCAGCCTAGGGGGAGGAAACAGATTCGTGTTCTGCCTATGTCCAGATTTAGACCAGGCTTGCACCACCACTGTCTATACCAGTGGCTCTCACCTGTTTGCAGGCCGGGCTTCCCGCTGAGCTTTCCGAGAACCAAAGAGGTGTCCCCATTTGATGCCTCCTGAGGAAGGCTCTGCGGTTCCATCTTCATTTTCTGTTGGGGGCGCAACAGGCCCTTCCCTCTCTCGACTCCGCCTCAGTTCAGCTAGCACGGAGTCAGGGGGGCTCCCCATCCAAAAAGGCCAGCCCCTTTCTTGGCCAAGGGCCTCCTCCGGGGCAGGGCAGGCCTCAGCCCCCTCGACTACACCTTCCCGTGGTGGCGGAGCCTGGGAAGGCCCCCCACTGCCTACCCCTTTCTTTTTCTCACTACCAGCGCTGCTACTGCGAGGGAACCGAGAGCCCTCAGTAGCGCCATCGATGTAGACCTGGGAGCTCTGCATGAGCTGGTACCACCAGCCCGCCTGACCCCCTCGGGTCCACCTGGAGTGCTCGGAGCTCCCTCCGGCCACAGCCGCCTCTTGGGTGTCTTCCTCATCCTCTTCTCCGCCTTCTGAGGCACCCACACCCTTCACCCGCTCCCCAGGGCCCTCCTGGCCTCGGGCCCGGGCCAGCTGCAGTGTCGAGTGTGCAGAGAGCAGCAGGTCCTGGGACACGCGCAGCAGCTCCTTGTGCTGCCGCTGCTGCTGCCCACTCTGCAGCAGCCGGTGCTGGAATAGCACGTCAAGACTGAAGGGCAGCAGGGCTAATGGCTGGAGCAGCAGCAGCAGCTCCTCGAAGAGGCCAGGGCACACTGTGTGAGCGGCGCGCAGGAAGCCCCAGGGCTGGTAATGGGTCTGGATGATATCTAGGGAAAGAGAGGGTGACGGATTCATGCACAGAAGTGGGATCTGGTCTGAAAGGGACACGGTGAGGTCTGCATGCTGCTGCATAGGCTGCGCTCCGCCTCGGTTCACAGGACGCCAGCTGCAGCGTGCAGTGCGTACATCCTGTCACCTGAAGCGGCAGCTCTGAGGTCAGAGAGAAATTCTGGGGCTCACGGCCATCCTAACTGCTAGACAGCCTAAGCCTACTGCTGCCTCCACGGCTCTAAGTCAAGGAGAAGCCCCAGACTCCGAGAATGAAAGTGTGGGTGGGCCTCCCCCTACCTCCCCCCCCTCCCGGCCTGCCCCCCCTCCCCTCCTACCCTAGCTCATGAGCCGGAGCAGTCTGTGGGCATTACCTTCATGGTTGTACAGGTGATTAAACCAGAACTCCAGGGACCGGATGCTGGAGAGGGAGAGGTGAAAAGGTTAAGTCTCACATGAACACAGTCAGACAACGCAGAAGGGCAGATACAGGAAGGAAATACAGATGGACATTTATGGCCAGCTGCTGCCAGTACACCTTGTAATGTAATTCTGGAAAGTCAATGAGGATGTGGGGAGTGGGGCACACATGGAATACACAAGTCAGTCGTTTCTTCTTGGAATGGGGCAGCAGACATAAGTCAGAGTGACTGCTGAGTGAGAACAGACTGCTCTGGGCCAAAGGTCAAGACCGGGCTGAAACCTGGGACATGCTACTCGATGGCACGTGGTCTGAGGCAGGATTTAGAAGCAGAGCTGGGATTGAGAGGATCACAGTTTGCAAGACCCTGAACACTGAGAAACTCGGTTTCTAAATAGGCCAGGCCATGGGCCTGTGAAAGTGGATGGGCTTGTGGGTGGGTGCCTGCCGAGATGCTGCAGCGAAGGGGGGTAAAGGCATCCCCAGGCCTTGCACAAACACGGCCTCATTCCCGGCAGCAGGGCCTTTAGAGGACGCAGAGCTATGGTGGGGCTGGCTGCTGAGACCCTGCCTTCTACACACTTACTTGAGCAGGCCGAGGATGAAGGCGTTGAAGCGCATAGTGTGGCTGGTGAGTTCCGGGAACTGGCTGACTTTGTTGTAGAGACCATGCAGGACCTTGGTGGATGGGCCTGGGAAGGAGACAGGGCTGAAGATCACATTTCTAGTCTCTGGAACTCGGAACTCATCCTGGAGCCCAGAGTCGCAGTCTGGCCCCTACCTAGCTGTGTGGAAGCCTCGACCACACTCCAAGGCGTGTTTTTACGCTGTCCAATGATCACGTCTAGCACGAAGGCCTTGAGCCCGTCATCCAGCACAGCTTGGACCGCAGGGCACAGGTACTTCAGAACCAGGTGGCCCACATTGGGGCTCACAGAACTGTTCCCCAGCTTTGCCTGCAGATCATAGGGCAACGTGAGAAGCCTGGCCTGGTTCTCACTTAGCCAGCCCCCCTGTTCCCCCTGGCCACCTCCATCCCCGGACACAAACAGCTGAGTCTGCAGGGCACATCTCAGCTCTTCATAGCTCCGGCCTACCTTGACCCCAGGATCCCGGCTTGTACCAAAATGGGCCACGATAAGGTCCACAGCAGTGTTGACAGCTTTCACCAGCCCTGTGAGGAAGGAGCTGGGATGACTGTGCCGTTCTCAAGACTCTAGCCCATCCAATGGAGGCTGACCCCTCGGTGGGCAAGAGGGAGCCCCACTCATACCTGTCCCTACCCATCTGTATCTCACTGTCTGTGCACCCATGGGTGGCTGCTCTCCCCACAGAGGGCTCTCCCCTCCCTCTCTACCCTTTGTGTCTCACTTGCTACAAGGACCTCCAGCTTCTCCTTTGCCAGCCCTGCCCCTTTGCCCACACTTATGCTTGGTTCCCTTCCCAGCATCTCCCTAACATTGCTCAGAGGTCACGGGTCACTGCTAACAGCATGTTCCTGCCAGTCCTTGTCTTCTCAGATGGCACCACCGTGTGGACCCAGGTAGCCACACCTTCAGCACTTAGGGCTTTGTTTGGAGTTTTTGAGATGGTCTCACTGTATTACCCAGGCTGGCCTTGAACTCAGAGATCCACCTGCCCCTGCCTCCCACCACACCAGACTCCTGTAAATTTTCAGAAACTATGGAATAGTCTCTCTCACTGCTGAAGGAAGGGCTGGAGCCGATTCTTAGGTTCCTGATATATGACCCTCACGCAGTACACCACACAAACTTCTACCTCTTGCCCTAACACCCACAGACTCCTTCTGGAGGGTTAGCCAGGGCAGCAGGCACAGCAGGTACTGAGAGCAGAACCCCTGGACCAGGCTGGTGTTGATACAAACCTTTCTTCTGAAGTACATCAATGGAAATGGCCTCCGAGCTGCCATCTGGAGACAGACAGAACTCAGCTGGAGGTTTCTCCGTTAAGGAGAAGGGGTCTTGGAGGTCAGGGCAGGTCAGTGGTAACGGCTTTGCTACTTGACCTGAAAAGAAAGAAAAACCTTATCCTGAAGCTCTTCCCGAGAGTTCTTGGCTCAGCTGGTGCTCTCCTCCCTCTAGACTAACTGACCCCTTTCCAAACCCATCCCAGCTTGTCCTGGGTATACCAGGGACTGCGGTCACACACCGTTCAGCCGGTAATTCAGATGGCTGGCAGGACCAAAAGAACCGGGGAACTCAAAGATGGGGTTCCTGCGGGCCAGCCGAGCTTCCTGTGGCCTTCGATCTAGGCTTCCTGACAAGCCGGGTGGTCCTAATGGGTTCTTCCTCCTGTATTCCCGCCACTTGAGGGCTTGAGGGGATAGGTGGTTGGCTGGGGGCAGAACAGGTGAGAGGCAGAGTTAGGGGATAGCATTTCACATCGACCCAGGGGCCCATATAATGCTAGGGTTGAGAAGATATGGCAAATACGCCAGACGCTGTGGGTATGACCCGTGCTGAACACATAAGAAGCCATTCAAAGGAGTGGGAGGATTGCCAGGGATACAGATGAAGCTCATACCATTGTTGGGCCTGGAGGCCATGCTGCCCTCACCACCTCCTCGAGCCAGGCTCTCTGCCCGGGAAAAGCCAGATCTCCAGGAGCCCAGAGGTGGCAAGCTTCCTGTGCCATGAAGCCGGTACTCAGTCAAGGTTGGAATCTTCTGGTCCTCCTTCAGTGGCTGCTGGGAGGCAGCAGGCCGCACAGGAGGACAA